TTATTCTTAGTTATTCCTGCTGTGGAAATGAGGACAAGTATCATCGATCTCTGCAGAGGAGCTGCTGGGACTTTTCCTGCTGTTGATCATCAGCCATTAAAGGCACCAGTTGCATCTGGTTCAGGTTGGACACTTTAGGACAGGCTGCTGGAATTTCATGGTTTTAAAGTTGGTCAAATACCAGCATCAAAGTACGGAACGTATTTCATATGAACCCTTTGGTTCTGCAGCTTCACTGGATTCGACACTTTTTCTGTTTTTCAGTAACCAGTCCTCCCTTCTCCCTGCAGTGGAATCATCTAGAATCAATCAGACGCAGGAAGTGGGGGTGCCTTCCTCATGGACATTTTGGAAAATGATTTTGACCTTTTTTATTTGACTATTTTGTGTGTTTGGATTTGAAGCTCATTATTTTGAGGCCCGATCAACACGGGTTCGCAGAAGTTACGTTGCCATGGCAACATCAAGCAAAGGTAAAGCCTGGCGGCAGCAGACTAGTTATACAATCTAATAAGATCATAAGAGACTTAATCTCCATGACACCTGTAACCATGGCAACCTGCCTGTAGCTCAGTCAGAGCGTGGAGCCGCCGCTCACCTTCACATCCAGAGAACTGTTCACTAATGTTTAAATGGAGCCAATAGGGTTAGACGTAAACACAGCGACTCAGCCAGCTGACCTAATCTATGCCCCCCCCCCCACACACACACACACAGAATGACACACTTCAGGCTGTCAGTACAGCTTGTTTATTAATGGTATATTTTGCATAGGAAAACATACTCAGCTCCAGTAATGACTTCATAAAGTATTAGAATAGTAAATATGGAAATCTGAAAGAGACGCTGCTGATGGAGAAACGCACATGCCATGGAGAGACATTCAAAACCCGGAAACCGTCCAAAAAACTGGAGCGGATGTTAAAAAGGTTGAACAGGTTTAACATGCAAACAGAACAGTAACCATTATTAAAACTGCTCTAGTCTAAAGTAGCCCTTTCCACAGTGACCATAGCTCCTCCCACTGCATCGCCCCCCCCACGCCGCACATCAGGGGCGTAACCCCCGGTTACAGCGCAGAAATATGGGAATCAGAAGTGACTTGTAACGTCGTCCTGGGGGAGGGTGGGGGGGTGGTAGTCATGCAGTCCTTAGAGTCTGTTCATGCCGACACGCGGTCAGGAGGGGGTTTATATATGCAGAGCCATCAAGCAGAGCCGTCTAAAGGGGGGGGCCTGGGGGGGCCGCGACTCGGAGCATCTGGTCCGACTCGGGATCAAACAACCAATAAAACTGAGAGAAAAAATCAAAACAAAGATCTAAACCTCTGCAGGAATCTGAGGCCGGAGGCGTCGCAGTGTGACGGACGGCTGCTGTAACGGTCCCAAGCCGACTGAGGCCCAGACCGGATCAGAACCGCCCGGCACACCGTTAGACGGCGGAAAACATCCCAAAAATACCTTTCCTTACGGGCTGCAGCGCCACAGATGATGCTATGGATGGCCTCACCCCCCAACACACGACTAAGACACCAAATCTGTTAGGAAACCGCTAAACGCTGCAGGTTCTGATGGTACTGACCCAACTGGACCCAGCAGAGCGCTGAAAGCTCAGTAGTGATCCCTGATCAGGATGTGTGTATAAATGTTCACTGGCGAAGATGGAGCGTCTGCATAACGTAGAACTGCTGCCGTCGGATTATTGTTTCAATCATTTCTGTGTTGCGTCTCAGATGAACTAATACAGCGTCTCTCAGCTGGAGATCTAACCTTTAATCTACTAATCTACGGGATCTAGAAGCGAAGAAGCAAAGCTGGAGAGGAAAAGTCCGACCCAGGAACAGAGAGCAACGCTTACATCCCAGAATAATCGATTTCTAACGCTTCACTCCGTTCCTGGGTCGCCGCATCCCTCAGTAATGAGAATCCTCCAACAGACCTTCATGTCAATCCAACCAAAGATTAGTGAAACATGCAGAAACTTTGAGCAGAAACTATCACCTCTGCTACTGAAGCATCCCTGCTCCAGATTACAGCCAGGAGGAGATGAGAGGAGTAGGAGGCCATGCAGGAGGCAGCCTTCAGTTAGAGCGGAGCCGCTGTGGACGCCTGCAGGCACGACGACGGCGGCTAGAAAAAGGAGGCTTTGCTTCTTTGCTCCTCAGCAGGATGTTGGTAGAAAGAATAAAGAAGGGAAGCGGTGTCTGATTAAACTAGAGGGTTTTCATCCCATAAACGATACGGAGACGCTAACAAGCCAAGAAGAACGTGTCGGACTAAAGCCTGAATCTGCACCAACAATGGCTTCCAGCCCACTGGCTCCACCTGGAGGAGGCAGAGTTCTGTTTGATCCACAGCTGCTGGTGAACGGACACCAGAGCTGGGAGAAAGAAATCCATTATTCTACACAATCCTATCCATCAAAGACCCAAACCGCTGCAGTTCAATCCGATTCACCCCAAACCAGGGGGTCTGGGTCCGGTTGGTACCGTGCATCAACCAGCAGTCTGAGTGGGTCTGGGTCCGGTTGGTACCGTGGATCAACCAGCAGTCTGAGTGGGTCTGGGTCCGGTTGGTACCGTGCATCAACCAGCAGTCTGAGTGGGTCTGGGTCCGGTTGGTACCGTGCATCAACCAGCAGTGTGAGTGGGTCTGGGTCCGGTTGGTACCGTGCATCAACCAGCAGTCTGAGTGGGTCTGGGTCCGGTTGGTACCGTGCATCAGCCAGCAGTCTGAGTGGGTCTGGGTCCGGTTGGTACCGTGCATCAACCAGCAGTCTGAGTGGGTCTGGGTCCGGTTGGTACCGTGCATCAACCAGCAGTCTGAGTGGGTCTGGGTCCGGTTGGTACCGTGCATCAACCAGCAGTCTGAGTGGGTCTGGGTCTGGTTGGTACCGTGCATCAGCCAGCAGTCTGAGTGGGTCTGGGTCCGGTTGGTACCGTGCATCAACCAGCAGTGTGAGTGGGTCTGGGTCCGGTTGGTACCGTGCATCAACCAGCAGTCTGAGTGGGTCTGGGTCCGGTTGGTACCGTGCATCAGCCAGCAGTCTGAGTGGGTCTGGGTCCGGTTGGTACCGTGCATCAGCCAGCAGTCTGAGTGGGTCTGGGTCCGGTTGGTACCGTGCATCAACCAGCAGTCTGAGTGGGTCTGGGTCCGGTTGGTACCGTGCATCAACCAGCAGTCTGAGCGGGTCTGGGTCCGGTTGGTACCGTGCATCAACCAGCAGTCTGAGCGGGTCTGGGTCCGGTTGGTACCGTGCATCAACCAGCAGTCTGAGTGGGTCTGGGTCCGGTTGGTACCGTGCATCAACCAGCAGTCTGAGTGGGTCTGGGTCCGGTTGGTACCGTGCATCAACCAGCAGTCTGAGTGGGTCTGGGTCCGGTTGGTACCGTGCATCAACCAGCAGTCTGAGTGGGTCTGGGTCCGGTTGGTACCCGTGCATCAACCAGCAGTCTGAGTGGGTCTGGGTCCGGTTGGTACCGTGCATCAACCAGCAGTCTGAGTGGGTCTGGGTCCGGTTGGTACCGTGCATCAACCAGCAGTCTGAGCGGGTCTGGGTCCGGTTGGTACCCGTGCATCAACCAGCAGTCTGAGTGGGTCTGGGTCCGGTTGGTACCGTGCATCAACCAGCAGTCTGAGTGGGTCTGGGTCTGGTTGGTACCGTGCATCAACCAGCAGTCTGAGCGGGTCTGGGTCCGGTTGGTACCGTGCATCAGCCAGCAGTCTGAGTGGGTCTGGGTCCGGTTGGTACCGTGCATCACCAGCAGTCTGAGTGGGTCTGGGTCCGGTTGGTACCCGTGCATCAGCCAGCAGTCTGAGTGGTCATCAACCAGCAGTCTGAGTGGGTCTGGGTCCGGTTGGTACCGTGCATCAACCAGCAGTCTGAGTGGGTTCTGGGTCGGTGGTACCGTGCATTAGCCAGCAGTCTGAGTGGTCTGGGGTCTGGTTGGGTACCCGTGCATCAACCAGCAGTCTGAGTGGGTCTGGGTCCGGTTGGTACCGTGCATCAACCAGCAGTCTGAGTGGGTCTGGGTCCGGTTGGTACCGTGCATCAGCCAGCAGTCTGAGTGGGTCTGGTCCGGTTGGTACCGTGCATCAACCAGCAGTCTGAGTGGGTCTGGGTCCGGTTGGTACCGTGCATCAGCCAGCAGTCTGAGTGGGTCTGGGTCCGGTTGGTACCGTGCATCAGCCAGCAGTCTGAGTGGGTCTGGGTCCGGTTGGTACCCGTGCATCAGCCAGCAGTCTGAGTGGGTCTGGGTCCGGTTGGTACCGTGCATCAGCCAGCAGTCTGAGTGGTCATCAACCAGCAGTCTGAGTGGGTCTGGGTCCGGTTGGTACCGTGCATCAACCAGCAGTCTGAGTGGGTCTGGGTCCGGTTGGTACCGTGCATCAGCCAGCAGTCTGAGTGGGTCTGGGTCCGGTTGGTACCGTGCATCAACCAGCAGTCTGAGTGGGTCTGGGTCCGGTTGGTACCGTGCATCAGCCAGCAGTCTGAGTGGGTCTGGGTCCGGTTGGTACCGTGCATCAGCCAGCAGTCTGAGTGGGTCTGGGTCCGGTTGGTACCGTGCATCAGCCAGCAGTCTGAGTGGGTCTGGGTCCGGTTGGTACCGTGCATCAACCAGCAGTCTGAGTGGGTCTGGGTCCGGTTGGTACCGTGCATCAACCAGCAGTCTGAGTGGGTCTGGGTCGGTTGGTACCGTGCATCAACCAGCAGTCTGAGTGGGTCTGGGTCCGGTTGGTACCGTGCATCAACCAGCAGTCTGAGTGGGTCTGGGTCCGGTTGGTACCGTGCATTACCAGCAGTCTGAGTGGGTCTGGGTCTGGTTGGTACCGTGCATCAGCCAGCAGTCTGAGTGGGTCTGGGTCCGGTTGGTACCGTGCATCAACCAGCAGTCTGAGTGGGTCTGGGTCCGGTTGGTACCGTGCATCAGCCAGCAGTCTGAGTGGGTCTGGGTCCGGTTGGTACCGTGCATCAACCAGCAGTCTGAGTGGGTCTGGGTCCGGTTGGTACCGTGCATCAGCCAGCAGTCTGAGTGGTCATCAACCAGCAGTCTGAGTGGGTCTGGGTCCGGTTGGTACCGTGCATCAACCAGCAGTCTGAGTGGGTCTGGGTCCGGTTGGTACCGTGCATCAGCCAGCAGTCTGAGTGGTCATCAACCAGCAGTCTGAGTGGGTCTGGGTCCGGTTGGTACCGTGCATCAACCAGCAGTCTGAGTGGGTCTGGGTCCGGTTGGTACCGTGCATCAGCCAGCAGTCTGAGTGGGTCTGGGTCCGGTTGGTACCGTGCATCAACCAGCAGTCTGAGTGGGTCTGGGTCCGGTTGGTACCGTGCATCAGCCAGCAGTCTGAGTGGGTCTGGGTCCGGTTGGTACCGTGCATCAGCCAGCAGTCTGAGTGGGTCTGGGTCTGGTTGGTACCGTGCATCAGCCAGCAGTCTGAGTGGGTCTGGGTCCGGTTGGTACCGTGCATCAGCCAGCAGTCTGAGTGGGTCTGGGTCCGGTTGGTACCGTGCATCAGCCAGCAGTCTGAGTGGGTCTGGGTCTGGTTGGTACCGTGCATCAGCCAGCAGTCTGAGTGGGTCTGGGTCCGGTTGGTACCGTGCATCAACCAGCAGTCTGAGTGGGTCTGGGTCCGGTTGGTACCGTGCATCAGCCAGCAGTCTGAGTGGGTCTGGGTCCGGTTGGTACCGTGCATCAACCAGCAGTCTGAGTGGGTCTGGGTCCGGTTGGTACCGTGCATCAGCCAGCAGTCTGAGTGGGTCTGGGTCCGGTTGGTACCGTGCATCAGCCAGCAGTCTGAGTGGGTCTGGGTCCGGTTGGTACCGTGCATCAACCAGCAGTCTGAGTGGGTCTGGGTCCGGTTGGTACCGTGCATCCATGTCTCCATGGAGACGGGGTCCAGAGATGTTGTAACCTTTAGTCTGATTCCTGGAAACTGATCCAGGAGGAGAAACTGTCGGTCAATTTAGGACAAACCAGTCATTCAGTCCCAGTCCAGCCAATGGGAGACAGTCATCGTAATAACGACCATATTATTGATCTTGATGATCGTAAGGATCTGAACCAGACAACCTGCCGTGATCCAAGGACACGATAAATAACTGAACTGTTCTTTAGTTTCCACCGCGCCTCCCTGTATCACCATGAGCTCTTTAGCTCCCTCTGCTGACTGCAGAGGGCGTTGCGGCGTTTTCTGTGCCTTCAGTCTGCAGATCATTTTCTCTCAGCGCATGCAGACCATCGTCATCGTTGGCAGGCTGGAGGAAAGCAACATTAGCCGTGGGAGGAATATATGAATAAAACCGATGCAGCAGGAAGGCAGATCATCTTTATACAAATCAACCAGATTAAAAGAAAATGGCTACAAGGTGCACTAAGATTTAGTTTGATCATTATTAGTTGATTCTGATTATTACCTCCATGGCTTAGAACCTCCTCTTTCTTCTTCCACCCAGAACAGTCTTCTCATTTTAATGGGCGGAGCCAAACCTTCAGGCATCTTAACATTCACAGAGCAGTCCTTGTGTCACCAACAACACGCCCACTAAAAAAGATACATGAACGCCGTAGCGCCTGTGATCCTGCAGATGGATGTTCTCCACGTGTCCATGAGCAAGCTCTGCTGATTTAGTGTTCCTCTGGAAATGAAGCAGTCATGTGTGGAACCTGGAGAACATCTCAAACATGCAGGAAGGGATCCACTAGAGGAGTGGAGTCTGTTAATTAAGGCTACTTCTGTGTGGGAGGGGAACCGGTTGGGGTTGCTAGGTAACAGCGGTTGCATATACTAAGGACAAAGCGCTTCACTGTCTTCAATGATGAGCAGTGAAGAAAACATGCAGGTTCAGACATAAAATCCACTTTAAGCAGCTCAGAGGAAGAGAAGGCCTGAGAGGAGCTGCGGCGCAATCTAACCCACGTCACATACTCGTTAGTTTGCTGCTTAAGGTGGACATAGACGCGCTGCTGCAGCCTAGAACAGTAACGGGTAGAATGTACAACACGCCCCAGGTTCTGATGTGGACCAATCATATTTTTGGTATCCAGCACAAGAAGGTGACCATGAAGTAAAACATTCAGAGCAAAGCTAACGTCTGCGGAGGCCGGGATCAAAGGGGAGGAGGAGGAGATCTGATTGGACGAGCGTTTGATTCGCCTCTAGAGCAGAAGCAAGTGCATGAAGCTAATGCTTCCATTAGCGTCTCTTCTTAGGGACGCAAAGAGGGTTCAGATCCCGCCGGTCCTGAACCAGCGTCTCTTCATGCTTCGGTTTTCAGAGCAACCAATCAAAGTGATGGAGGTTCCCACATTAAAAAGGCCTTATTGTTGCATATTCAGAATATTGCTTTGATTTGGGTTTTAACAGAACATGGATTTGAGTCTTTTTTGTATGAAGACAAACTGGGATTATTGTCTGGATCTCATCATATGCTGATGATACTTCTATATTCAATAAGCCAGTCGGCTAAGGTGAGCCAACGCATACAGAACCAGAACCTGTGGGGAGTTTCTCCAGAGGAGCAGCTCTCTGCTCTCCTCAGGCCGGTCAGGCTTGGCCATCCCATAATATGAATGGATGTGAAAGAGGAAGGTCAGTATGAGGCTTTCTGCTCCAAACATCTCCTCAGGACAGAGCAGTGATCTGTTAACAGACCTAATACTGAGCAGCAGGGGTTACTACGCACTAATCAGAACTATGGAGCAGAACCATGGCTTTAGCCTGATTCAGGAACAAACATCTCCAGCTTGTGTTTTACACCCTTCTGTAGATGAAAGTGCTTGTGTCGGGGCAAGGAGAGAAATCTGATTTCTCTTCCTGTTTTCAAACATCTTGCAAAGCGACTCGCTAGTTTCAGTTTGATGAAATAAAGAGAAAGCTTCTGTCTTTGGGTCGGTGATAAAAAAAAAAAAAGTCAGCTTATCTCAAAAATGGCTAAAGTGCAAACAAACACACATAGAAACATTCGAGCCAGTCTGGAACCAATGGAGGCTTGTTTGCATATATCAAAAGCAGCACCTGCATGGATGAGGGGTTTAAAGCAGACCGCTGGATAAAGGCTGACAGATCCTGGGACAACAGGGTCCATCCGTGGGATGCAGCTGGTTTAAAAGCTTCTCAGGAACCACAGACCGTACAAAGTCTTCCTGCTTCCAGAAGCCGCTCACACATCTACACCAACCCACAGCTGTCATAAAAAACCCCAGAAGCTGTCTTTGTAACTATGCAGTATTATAAAGCAGAGGTCATTCAGGCGGTGCTGGAGGCCGAGCAGCATCCGTGGCGTTGCCTCTAGGTGGGTCTCCTGCTATGAAGATCAAGATAGATTCACATATCTTGATGTTTCTGTCATTCTCTAATCAAACTGAAGATATTTTCCATCTGATAAAGTCTTGGTCAGGTTGTTTCCTTTCCTCCCGGAGATGATGTCAGGATCATCAGCTTTCTGCAAACGTTCCTTTAGTTGCCAAGATACCAAGACTGAAAAAGAAAAAAACAAAGCAAAACAAAACATTGGTGAGAATGGCAACCAGAAAAACTGAACATCAGTCAGAACCAATCTACCGTCTGACCCACCATTCAACGCAACGACCAACCCACCATGCAACACAACGACTGACCCACCAACCGACCCACCATTCAACGCAACGACTGACCCACCAACCGACCCACCATTCAACGCAACGACCAACCCACCTTGCAACGCAACGACCGACCCACCATTCAATGCAACGACCAACCCACCATGCAAAGCAACGACCGACCCACCATTCAACGCAACGACCAACCCACCATGCAACGCAACCACCGACCCACCATTCAACACGACTGACCCACCAACCGACCCACCATTCAACGCAAAGACCAACCCACCATGTAACGCAACGACCGACCCACCATTCAACACAACGACTGACCCACCAACCGACCCACCATTTAACGCAACAACCAACCCACCATGCAACGCAACGACCGACCCACCATTCAACACAACGACTGACCCACCAACCGACCCACCATTCAACGCAACGACCAACCCACCTTGCAACGCAACGACCGACCCACCATTCAACGCAACGACCGACCCACCATGCAAAGCAACGACCGACCCACCATTCAACGCAACGACCAACCCACCATGCAACGCAACAACCGACCCACCATTCAACACGACTGACCCACCAACCGACCCACCATTCAACGCAAAGACCAACCCACCATGCAACGCAACGACCGACCCACCATTCAACGCAAAGACCAACCCACCATGCAACGCAACGACCGACCCACCATTCAACACAACGACTGACCCACCAACCGACCCACCATTTAACGCAACAACCAACCCACCATGCAACGCAACGACCGACCCACCATTCAACACAACGACTGACCCACCAACCGACCCACCATTCAACGCAACGACCAACCCACCATGCAATGCAACGACCGACCCACCATTCAACACAACGAACGACCTACCATTCATCGCAACAAACGACCCACCATTCAATGCAACGACGACCCACCGACCGACCCACAGACCGACTCAACGACTGACCCACCGACCGACCCACCGACGACTCAACGACCAACCCAGCATTCAATGCAACCACTGACCCACCAACCGACCCACAGACCGACTCAATGACTGACCTACTGACCGACCCACCGACCGACTCAACGACTGACCTACTGACCGACCCACCGACCGACTCAACGACCAACCCAGCATTCAATGCAACCACCGACCCACCGACCGACCCACAGACCGACTCAACAACTGACCCACCGACCGACCCACAGACCGACTCAACGACCGACCCACCATTCAACGCAACGACCGACTCAACAACCGACCCATCATTCAACACAACGACCGACCCACAGACCGACTCAAGTACCGACCCACCATTCAACGCAACGACCGACCCACCACTCAACACAACGAACAACCCACAGACCGACTCAACAACCGACCCATCATTCAACACAACGACCGACCCACAGACCGACTCAACAACCGACCCATCATTCAACACAACGACCGACCCACAGACCGACTCAACAACCGACCCATCATTCAACACAACGACCGACCCACAGACCGACTCAATGACCGACCCACCATTCGACGCAACGACCGACCCACCACTCAACACAACGAACAACCCACCGACCGACCCAACAACTTACCTACCATTCAACGCAACGAACGACCCAACGACCGACTCACCATTCAACGCAACCAACGACCCAACGACCGACTCACCATTCAACGCAACGACCAACCCACCATGCAATGCAACGACAGACCCACCATTCAACGCAACGAACGACCCACCATTCAATGCAACGACGACCCACCGACCGACCCACAGACCGACTCAATGACTGACCCACCGACCGACTCAACGACTGACCTACTGACCGACCCACCGACCGACTCAACGACCAACCCACCATGCAATGCAACGACCGACCCACCGACCGACTCAACGACCAACCCAGCATTCAATGTAACCACTGACCCACCAACCGACCCACAGACCGACTCAATGACTGACCCACCGACCAACTCAACGACTGACCTACTGACCGACCCACCGACCGACTCAACGACCAACCCACCATTCAACGCAACCAACCACCCAACGACCGACTCACCATTCAACGCAACGAACGACCCACCGATCGACCCAACGACCAACCCACCATTCAACGCAACCAACCACCCAACGACCGACTCAACATTCAACGCAACGACCAACCCACCATGCAATGCAACGACCGACCCACCACCCGACCCACAGACCGACTCACTGACTGACCTACTGACCGACCCACCGACCGACTCAACGACTGACCTACTGACCGACCCACCCACCGACTCAACGACCGACCCACCATTCAACGCAACGACGACCCACCGACCGACCCACCGACCGACTCAACGACCAACCCAGCATTCAATGCAACCACTGACCCACCACCCGACCCACAGACCGACTCACTGACTGACCTACTGACCGACCCACCGACCGACTCAACGACTGACCTACTGACCGACCCACCGACCGACTCAACGACCAACCCAGCATTCAATACAACCACCGACCCACCGACCGACCCACAGACCGACTCAACGATTGACCCACCGACCGACTCAACGACCGACCCACCATTCAACGCAACAACCGACTCAACAACCGACCCATCATTAAACACAATGACCGACCCACCGACCGACCCACAGACCGACTCAATGACCGACCCACCATTCAAAGCAATGACAGACCCACCATTCAACGCAATGACAGACCTACCATTCAACGCAACGAACGACCCAACGACCAACCCACCATTCAACGCAACCAACGACCCAACAACCGACCCATCATTAAACACAATGACCGACCCACCGACCGACCCACAGACCGACTCAATGACCGACCCACCATTCAAAGCAATGACAGACCCACCATTCAACGCAATGACAGACCTACCATTCAACGCAACGAACGACCCAACGACCAACCCACCATTCAACGCAACCAACGACCCAACAACCGACTCACCATTCAACGCAACGACCGACCCACCGACTGATCCAATGACCGACCTACCATTCAACGCAACGACGACCCACCGACCGACCCACCGACCGACTCAACGACCAACCCAGCATTCAATGCAACCACTGACCCACCACCCGACCCACAGACCGACTCACTGACTGACCTACTGACCGACCCACCGACCGACTCAACGACTGACCTACTGACCGACCCACCGACCGACTCAACGACCAACCCAGCATTCAATACAACCACCGACCCACCGACCGACCCACAGACCGACTCAACGATTGACCCACCGACCGACTCAACGACCGACCCACCATTCAACGCAACGACCGACTCAACAACCGACCCATCATTAAACACAATGACCGACCCACCGACCGACCCACAGACCGACTCAATGACCGACCCACCATTCAAAGCAATGACAGACCCACCATTCAACGCAATGACAGACCTACCATTCAACGCAACGAACGACCCAACGACCAACCCACCATTCAACGCAACCAACGACCCAACAACCGACTCACCATTCAACGCAACGACCGACCCACCGACTGATCCAATGACCGACCTACCATTCAACCCAACGACCGACCCAACGACCAACCCAACAACTGACCTACCATTCAACACAACGACCGACCCACCGACTGACCCACCGACCGACCCACCATTCAACGCAACGACCGACCCACCGACAGAGCCTCCGCCGGTGAAGAGAACTCCCACTGTCACATTGTGCTGTTTTGGTAAAACACAGAAAACCAAACTTTTTTAAATAAAAGACAGAAATAAAAGTCCATCTCTCATCATGGCAGTCATGCAATCCGAAATCTTTTGCCAGACTGGAGGCCTTTAAAATTAAAGGCTGTTCGTTTCAGTGTTTTTCTTTTTTCGTCTGCAAACACATAGAGCTATAATTTTAAGATGCTGACACGGGGCATCTGTGATATTTTATTTGAGGTTATCAAACTCTCCCCCAGACATTGGCCATTTCTAAATTCACTAGAACGTGAGTACAGACTCGTGTTCTCGCCAAGTCTGTTCTTTTCAAGAACCCAGGAAAGTCTGGACTCGAAGAACGGGAGCACGCAAAATAAATCTGGGTCAACTGGAACTGCAGCGTACTGATGACATCACCATATTCAAAGCTAGTCTGGAGCTGCATTTCACCTCCTGTTATTAATAGTCTCTAGATAATAATAAATTATTTTTTCATTTAGTGGAGGAATAATGATGAACACAGTCAGATAAACACAAATCAAATGAACGTCTGGCTGCTGCAGACGGGCTAACGTTAGCCCTGGCTGCAGCAGACGGGCTAACGTTAGCCCTGGCTGCTGCGGACGGGCCAACGGTAGCCCTGGCTGCTGCGGACGGGCTAACGTTAGCCCTGGCTGCTGCAGACGGGCTAACGTTAGCCCTGGCTGCTGCGGAAGGGCTAACGTTAGCCCTGGCTGCTGCAGACGGGCTAACGTTAGCCCTGGCTGCTGCGGACGGGCCAACGTTAGCCCTGGCTGCTGCGGACGGGCTAACGTTAGCCCTGGCTGCTGCAGAAGGGCCAACGTTAGCCCTGGCTGCTGCGGACGGGCTAACGTTAGCCGTGGCTGCTGCGGACGGGCTAACGTTAGCCCTGGCTGCTGCAGAAGGGCCAACGTTAGCCCTGGCTGCTGCGGACGGGCTAACGTTAGCCCTGGCTGCTGCGGAAGGGCCAACGTTAGCCCTGGCTGCTGCGGACGGGCTAACGTTAGCCCTGGCTGCTGCAGAAGGGCCAACGTTAGCCCTGGCTGCTGCGGACGGGCTAACGTTAGCCCTGGCTGCTGCGGACGGGCCAACGTTAGCCCTGGCTGCTGCGGACGGGCCAACGTTAGCCCTGGCTGCTGCGGACGGGCCAACGTTAGCCCTGGCTGCTGCGGACGGGCCAACGTTAGCCCTGGCTGCTGCGGACGGGCTAACGTTAGCCCTGGCTGCTGCGGAAGGGCCAACGTTAGCCCTGGCTGCTGCGGACGGGCTAACGTTAGCCCTGGCTGCTGCAGACGGGCCAACGTTAGCCCTGGCTGCTGCGGACGGGCCAACGTTAGCCCTGGCTGCTGCGGACGGGCTAACGTTAGCCCTGGCTGCTGCGGACGGGCCAACGTTAGCCCTGGCTGCTGCGGACGGGCTAACGTTAGCCCTGGCTGCTGCAGACGGGCCAACGTTAGCCCTGGCTGCTGCGGACGGGCTAACGTTAGCCCTGGCTGCTGCGGAAGGGCCAACGTTAGCCCTGGCTGCTGCGGACGGGCTAACATTAGCCCTGGCTGCTGCAGACGGGCCAGCGTTAGCCGTGGCTGCTGCGGACAGGCCAACGTTAGCCCTGGCTGCTGCGGACGGGCCAACGTTAGCCGTGGCTGCTGCGGACGGGCTAACGTTAGCCCTGGCTGCTGCAGACGGGCCAACGTTAGCCCTGGCTGCTGCGGACGGGCTAACGTTAGCCCTGGCTGCTGCGGACGGGCTAACGTTAGCCCTGGCTGCTGCAGAAGGGCCAACGTTAGCCTGGCTGCTGCGGACGGGCTAACGTTAGCCCTGGCTGCTGCAGAAGGGCCAACGTTAGCCCTGGCTGCTGCGGACGGGCTAACGTTAGTTTTGGAGCTCCGCTGGTTGCAGCGGGTCTCTCAACTTTGGATTTTTTTCAAAATTACGCATTAAATCAGTAAATGGACCATATAGTGAAGCTTTGAAGTATAATGTTCTCGCCTCAAATGATCTTAAAACTTGCTTTTATTGAACAACAGACACAGAAAGGGAACTTTTAGCTTTCAATGGAGCGCTTCATTGAAAGCTGCTGCTGCCGCAGTGCATGCTGGGACAGCTGTCAATCTCAAGAACAGACAAATCTGCTCTGATGCATGCTGGGTAAAAAGGGAGGGGTGAGAACAACATCCGGAGACTTTGTCCGTTCTCGGTCTGCTGTTCTTGTGAACTGGAACAGTACTCGGGCTGAGGCTGATGACGTTTCACGAGAACGCCAAAGTCCACATAATGAGAAACGGCCAATGATTAAATCCCACAGAACGCCATCACAGACTGGCAATCAGTCTCCGAATCCTGATGCCAACGTTTGGGACCAGATGAGGTTAAAGAAAGTCTTTAGATTCAACACTCTGGCCTGTTTTTATCAGTCCACTGCTTGCCGTACATCGGAGCAGCTTTAATCTGCAGGAAACTGCTGGATGGACTTCATTAAACCAGCATTCAACTGGGAGCTGTGGGACGAGGATGAGAAGGATAGAAACTTCACAGCTAGAGAGGCTTACAGTCGCCATGGCGACAGACAAAGGAAATAAAGCCTGCTTCCTTCATCCCCTCATTGAGTCTGGTTTCTGTTAAAGTTTGTTAAAAATAATCAAAATTCTGGCACATCTGGGTCAAAGTGTTGCTGGCGTTAGCTTTGGCATCTAACAGATTTTACTACTTGATTAACGTTTTAATTCTCTTTAAAATTCTTCTCAGAATTCTTAGAAGCTGTTTTTTTGAAGAAGGCGATTCTGCTGCCTCCTAGTGGACGCTGTGCAGACCTTCATGGTTCAGATGATGTCATACCGCCTCCGATCCTTAGTGACCCTTCCAACGTTAACTAGTTGGTAACAGTCAGAGGACTCTGACCCTCACTGCTATGACAGTTAATCCGCTCCATGCTGCTTCTTAGGAACCAGCCGGATTAAACCGGATTACATTAAAGTGAGGATCTGATGCTTAATTGAATCAATAATGAGCCGAGCCGTTCAAACATCCGGACTCACCTGGGTTTGGTAAAGTCCTCCCGGGTCCCGAGGGTTGATTCCCACGAAGGAAGACCGACTGGCAGGGGGGGGTCCCAGGGGCGGAGTATGCTGAGGGCAGCACACACGGACGTTAGCTTAAGACGCTATTATCAACACAAAGCTCCTCCATCAAACACAGAGGATAATGTTTAGCATCTAAGCTCCAGGTCTGGTCTTTGTTTCCACAGATGGAGGAGGCCGTCTATCCCACAGGAAGGAGGTAAACCCACCCCATCCCCTGCCATGTCCACCAACAGTCCACCATTCCAGCCTGCAGCCGCCAAGAAGAACAAGATGGCTTCATCCACACGTTAGCTTCAGGCCCAATCAACCCTCAGACAGACGGACCTGAAATCTACCTCCATGGAGACCTCAGCCTCCTCTCCACAGGAAGAGCCAAACATCTCCAGCCAAAGGAACCTGACACCACATGTTTGATTTTAAACTGGTTTTTCACTTACTGGGAGATGTAGGGGAGTTGGCCCCCCCATCAGAGGAGGAGGTAGAAGCTTTAGACTCTGTGGGAGCTGCTGGTCTGGGGAGGGAGGCTGCTGGTCCAGGAGGAGCTAACATCTGGGAGGAGATATAATGGCTGGACACTTTGACCTGAGTGCTGCCGTTCAGCTGAAACAGGATCAGAGGAAGGATGGGCATTATCCCACAGAAATGTCATCGACTAGAACTAGAAATTCTAGAATTATTCACACCCTGTATTCAGTTAAACATTATTATTATTCATTAACATTTTTATTGTTAGACTTTCTTGGATTTTATAACCTATATGGTGGTGATAAAAGTACAAACCAAATTTTCCGCACTATAAGGCCTGTCTGTTTCCAAACTTTATTAGACAGCATGGGATTAATTTCCACTGTTATGCTGATGATACCCAGCTATATCTGTCTATAAATCCAGATGAAGCTAACCCATTACATAGATTACAGGCATGTCTGAAGACATAAAAACCTGGATGACTCTTAACTTTCTGCTTCTGAATGCAGACAAAACAGAAGTTATAGTCTTTGGACCAGAGTCTCTGAAAAAGAAGCTGATTAGCCAGTCACTTCATCTGGATGGGATTAAACTGATTTCAGATAATAAAGTAAAAAATCTTGGTGTTATTTTTGATCAGGACCTGTCATTTAAATCCCATATCAAAGAGGTTTCTAGAATTTCCTTCTTTCATCTGAGGAACATTGCAAAAATGAGCAATCTCCTGTCCAGGGGTGATGCTGAGAAACTAGTCCATGCATTTGTTACTTCAAGGCTGGACTATTGTAATTCTTTACTATCAGGAAGTCCACAAACTGTAGTTAAAAGCCTTCAGCTGATCCAAAATGCTGCAGCCAGAGTTCTGATGAAAATGAAAAAGAGAGATCATATCTCTCCTATCCTGGCTTCTCTTCATTGGCTTCCTGTTAAATCCAGAATAGAATTTAAAATCCTCCTTCTCACATATAAAGCCTTAAATGGCCAAGCTCCATCTGATATCAGAGATCTGATTGTTCCTTATGTTCCTAACAGAGCACTTCGCTCTCAATCTGCAGGTTTACTAGTGGTTCCTAGAATTTCTAAAAGTAGAATGGGAGGCAGATCTTTTAGTTCTCAGGCTCCTCTCCTGTGGAACCAACTACCAGTTTTAGTCCGTGAGGCAGACACCCTGTCTACTTTTAAGGCTAGGCTTAAAACTTTCCTTTTTGATAAAGCTTCTAGTTAGAGTGGCTCAGGTTATCCTGAGCTATCTCTATAGTTCTGCTGCTATAGGCTTAGACTGCTGGAGGACATAGGGACCCCTTTTTCATCATTCTGCTTCATTCTATCTCTATTCTCCCACTCTGCAGAATCTGTTAGTTCAATCTCTAACGTTCTGCTCTCTCTGCTTTTTCTCATAGTAGCTTCATCTGGTCTGTTCCTGTTTGGCTGTGACTCCATCCTGGAGAGAAACATCAGCTGTGCTGCTGCCATCAACACCTTTGTTTCTAGATGTTGGAGCTTGGCCTGTTTTCCAGTGTAGTCCTGTTTCTCTGACTGTGACTAACTGGATGTGCTCTCTTCATCCTCTGACATGGGAGCTGGCTCGGAGCTCGTCTGCCTGGCTGTGTGTTTCCTGGACGGGGCCGCCTGTGGAGCTGGTTGACAGTTGCCTTTTGTATCTATGCTTCTTTTTCTATGTCTGCTTCTGTCTCCTTGAACCCCAGTGGGCCTCAGCAGATGGCCGCTCACACTGAGCCTGGTTCTGCTGGAGGTTTCTTCCTGTTCAAAGGGAGTTTTTCCTCTCCACTGTCGCTACAAGCATGTTTAGTGTGAGGGATTGCTGAAGAGTCAATGAGTCGATGCAATCAGCTGGTTTTCCTTAGATAGAAAACTTTGAATCAATCTGACTGGATGATCTGGTGAACTGGAAAGTGACCTGAGATGACATGATGTGAATTGGAGCTATAGAAATATACTGAATAGAATTGAATTTTCATATAAAAGGCGCACCCCTTCATGCTCTTCTACTGCAGCGTAAAATGGAGGCTGCCTTCCGCTGTTCTTTGCTTCTAGATGTTTCATTTGTTCCTTTCTGTCCACTTTGTGTTTCTCTGTTATTTTCTCTGGTCTGAAGTTTAGTTAAAAGTCGGAAACTAAAAAAGAATGAAAAGCACTTACAGAGTTTGGGGATTGGTTTGCAGGATCACAGGCCATGGAGACCAGGTCCTTCAGGGGGTCCTGGGTCAGGTGGGGGGGGTAGCGGATCGCTCCGTGGGCAAAGTAGGAAGAAGATGGAAAGTGGATGGATGAGGAGGGATGAGGACACCGAGAGAGGCCTGACCAAAACACAAAATAATGCTTTAGGAAGTTCCTGCAGAAGGTCCAGAGCATGTGGATGAAGGGGGGGGGGAGCGCTGCGCTCTACCAACCGCTGTGCACGGCTATGACTGGACGGTGGTGCTGCGTGAAGGACCCCATTCTTGGTGAGCCCTCCTGTGGGGAGGGGCTGTCCAGCTCCGCCTTCTTCACCGGGGGAGACAAACCTGGACACAAAGGTATGGAAACACTGTTTACCAACTGATTAGCTCCTCCCTCATCAGAACGCCAACAGCAACTAAGCTCGCTGTGCTGGTTCCTGCTTCTGCACCCATCAGGAGGCAGTCAGAGAAACAAGGCGCAGCAGAGCCAGATGACCCTGCTGACAGCGACTGGGAATAATTACCTGGGAACTGCTTACTGTCACCGCATGCAGGTTTAAACCCGTTAGTCGCTTCCTTTATACTCAAACACCGCTAAGAGATTAAGTCCTAGAAGCTGTGAAGACGTTTGGGAACATTTCTGGTGACTACCTCTCGAATTTTACCAAAAGAATAAAAGCGCTAAACCAACCAATCAGTTTAAACCCAACAAGTGTTTAACATGTTGGGTTTACATATAAGTCTGTCTGTTTTAGAGCAGAGCAGCTTTGATATTCCATCAAAATGTTGGTGGTGTTTGGACAACAGAGAAAGAGCGGCATAAATTCACATCCTCCAATATTCGTCATTTAACTCATTAACAGACCTAAATTCATTCTAAGTGGCATCATTAAATCAAGCTAAACTATCATTACAGATGTTTGATCAATGCACTCAATAGAGGAGAAAAAGAACAGATAAAAATGTTAGAAAGCCATTACACGTCCTAGTAAAGAAGCAGACCTGCACACTACTGCCACGACTAACCCTAAAATAAAAGTTTTATGTAACATAATGAAGCTGTCGGCATTACCTCCCTGCCAGCGCTACTTCACTATTAGACTTACCTTACTCTCAGCATTATTTCACTTTAGCGTTACCTCACTGTCAGCGTTACTCAACTGCCAGCGTTACTTCACTGTTACCATTACTTCACTATAAGGGTTACTTCACTGTCTGCGTTACTTTACTGTCAGCGTCGCTTAATTTTCAGCGTTACTTCACTATTAGACTTACTTCACTTTCAGCATTATTTCACTTTAGCGTTACCTCACTGTCAGCGTTACTTCAATGCCAGCGTTACTTCACTGTTACCATTACTTCACTATAAGGGTTACTTCACTGTCTGCGTTACTTTACTGTCAGCGTCGCTTAATTTTCAGCGTTACTTCACTATTAGACTTACTTCACTTTCAGCATTATTTCACTTTAGCGTTACCTCACTGTCAGCGTTACTTCAATGCCAGCGTTACTTCACTGTTACCATTACTTCACTATAAGGGTTACTTCACTGTCTGCGTTACTTTACTGTCAGCGTCGCTTAATTTTCAGCGTTACTTCACTATTAGACTTACTTCACTTTCAGCATTATTTCACTTTAGCGTTACCTCACTGTCAGCGTTACTCAACTGCCAGCGTTACTTCACTGTCAGCGTTACTCAACTGTTACCATTACTTCACTATAAGGGTTACTTCACTGTCTGCGTTACTTTACTGTCAGCGTCGCTTAATTTTCAGCGTTACTTCACTGTTAGCATAACTTCACTGACAGCGTTACTTCATCTTTAGCGTTACTTTACTGTCAGCTTTACTTCACTGTCAGCGTTACTTCATCTTTAGCGTTACTTCATCTTTAGCTTTACTTCACTGTCAGCGTTACTTCACTGTTAGCGTTACTTCATCTTTAGCGTTACTTTACTGTCAGCTTTACTTCACTGTTAGCGTTACTTCACTGTCAGCGTTACTTCACTGTCAGCGTTACCTCACTATTAGCGTTACTTCACTGTCAGCGTTACTTTACTGTCAGCTTTACTTCACTGTCAGCGTTACTTCACTGTCAGCGTTACTTCACTGTCAGCGTTACCTCACTATTAGCGTTACTTCACTGTCAGCGTTACTTTACTGTCAGCTTTACTTCACTGTCAGCGTTACTTCACTGTCAGCGTTACCTCACTATTAGCTTTACTTCACTGTCAGCGTTACTTCACTGTCAGCGTTACCTCACTATTAGCTTTACTTCACTGTCAGCGTTACCTCACTATTAGCATTACTTCACTGTCAGCGTTACTTCACTGTCAGCGTTACCTCACTATTAGCTTTACTTCACTGTCAGCGTTACTTCACTGTCAGCGTTACCTCACTATTAGCTTTACTTCACTGTCAGCGTTACCTCACTATTAGCGTTACTTCACTGTCAGCGTTACTTCACTGTCAGCGTTACCTCACTATTAGCTTTACTTCACTGTCAGCGTTACTTCACTGTTAGCGTTACTTCATCTTTAGCGTTACTTTACTGACAGCTTTACTTCACTGTTAGCGTTACTTCACTGTCAGCGTTACTTCACTGTCAGCGTTACCTCACTATTAGCGTTACTTCATCTTTAGCGTTACTTTACTGTCAGCTTTACTTCACTGTTAGCGTTACTTCACTGTTAGCGTTACTTCATCTTTAGCGTTACTTTACTGTCAGCTTTACTTCACTGTCAGCGTTACTTCATCTTTAGCGTTACTTTACTGTCAGCTTTACGTCACTGTTAGCGTTACTTAACTGCCAGAGTTACTACACTGTAAGCGTCACTTTACTGTCAGCGTCACTTCACTGTCAGCATCACTTCACTGTCAGCATTACTTCACTGTCTGAGTTACTTTACTGTCAGCGTCGCTTAATTTTCAGCGTTACTTCACTGTTAGCATTACTTCACTGACAGCGTTACTTCATCTTTAGCGTTACTTTACTGTCAGCCTTACTTCACTGTCAGCGTTACTTCACTGTTAGTGTTACTTCATCTTTAGCGTTACTTCACTGTCAGCGTTACTTCACTGTTAGCTTTACTTCACCTCTAGCGTTACTTTACTGTCAGCTTTACTTCACTGTTAGCGTTACTTAACTGCCAGAGTTACTACACTGTCAGCATTACTTCACTGTCTGCGTTACTTTACTGTCAGCGTCGCTTAATTTTCAGCGTTACTTCACTGTTAGCATTACTTCACTGACAGCGTTACTTCATCTTTAGCGTTACTTTACTGTCAGCCTTACTTCACTGTCAGCGTTACTTCACTGTTAGCGTTACTTCATCTTTAGCGTTACTTCACTGTCAGCGTTACTTCACTGTTAGCTTACTTCATCTTTAGCGTTACTTTACTGTCAGCGTTACTTCACTGTTAGCGTTACTTCATCTTTAGCGTTACTTCACTGTCAGCGTTACTTCACTGTTAGCGTTACTTCATCTTTAGCGTTACTTCACTGTCAGCATTACTTCACTGTCAGCGTTACTTCACTGTTAGCTTTACTTCATCTTTAGCGTTACTTTACTGTCAGCGTTACTTCACTGTTAGCGTTACTTCATCTTTAGCGTTACTTCACTGTCAGCGTTACTTCACTGTTAGCTTTACTTCATCTTTAGCGTTACTTCACTGTCAGCGTTACTTCACTGTTAGCTTTACTTCATCTTTAGCGTTACTTCACTGTCAGTGTTACTTCACTGTTAGCCTTACTTCACTGTTAGCTTTACTTCATCTTTAGCGTTACTTTACTGTCAGCTTTACTTCACTGTTAGCGTTACTTAACTGCCAGAGTTACTACACTGTAAGCATCACTTCACTGTCAGCGTCACTTCAGTGTCAGCATCACTTTACTGTCAGCGTCACTTCACTGTCAGCATTACTTCACTGTTAGCGTTACTTAACTGCCAGAGTTACTACACTGTAAGCGTTACTTCGCTGTCAGCATTACTTCACCGTCAGCTTTACTTCACTGTCAGCCTCACTTTACTGACAGTAACGCTGACAGTGAAGTGAGGCTGACAGTGAAGTAATGATGACAGTGAAGTTACTTCACTGTCAGCATTACTTCACTGTCAGCGTTACTTCACTGTTAGCGTTACTTCATCTTTAGCGTTACTTCACTGTCAGCGTTACTTCACTGTTAGCGTTACTTCATCTTTAGCGTTACTTCACTGTCAGCGTTACTTCACTGTTAGCTTTACTTCATCTTTAGCGTTACTTTACTGTCAGCGTTACTTCACTGTTAGCGTTACTTCATCTTTAGCGTTACTTCACTGTCAGCGTTACTTCACTGTTAGCTTTACTTCATCTTTAGCGTTACTTCACTGTCAGCGTTACTTCACTGTTAGCTTTACTTCATCTTTAGCGTTACTTCACTGTCAGCGTTACTTCACTGTTAGCGTTACTTCACTGTTAGCTTTACTTCATCTTTAGCGTTACTTTACTGTCAGCTTTACTTCACTGTTAGCGTTACTTAACTGCCAGAGTTACTACACTGTAAGCGTTACTTCGCTGTCAGCATTACTTCACCGTCAGCCTCACTTCACTGACAGTAACGCTGACAGTGAAGTGAGGCTGACAGTGAAGTAATGCTGACAGTGAAGTAACTTCACTGTCAGCATTACTTCACTGTTTTTATTAAGTGTAGCTTCATTCTCAGCCTGTGTCTCTGGCTAACTGGTTCTAATGGGAAGTTTAGGATGGTTTTTGTTTCTTACCTCCTTCCAAGTCATCGGGCCAGTTCCTGGAGCTGCTGGCAGGAGAAGCAGGTGAGTGGTAGTACTCCCCTCCTGGACTGTCAGCTTCCTCCTCCACAGAGCCGGACTTAAGGCGTTTATTCCTGCAGCCCGATAAATAGAGTGAATGAAGGGTTTAAGGTAGTACATCCAGGTGAGGGTTCACATTCACAGAGTCAGAGAGCAGAATTACCGGATTTCAATTTGTCTTTGAAAGCATTTCTCTTAGCAAAGAGGTTTAACTAGAACAAAGCCCTTCAGTTCAGCCCTTTTCAAACATTCAGGTTTATAAAGATTCCTGCAGAGAAACACCTACAGCAGGGATAAAAATGCATCATAGGTTTTCCCACACAGCATGTGATCACAGGTGCTCCTCAGCTGTTAGACAAGCTACCAAGCAGTAAAAACGTTGGTTCCTAAATGCCACCTTTAACAACTTCTCCTGTTCTCCTCTTGATCTGTATCAGGGAATAGCAGACCTGGACAAGACTGGGATGGACTCCTGGGAGACGGGTGAGCTGCTGGGAGAGCCACTTTGGAAACCGCTGCTAGAGTGAGTGCAGGACAATGGAAGATACAACGCCCTCCGCAATCATTGGCACCCCCGTTTAAGATGTAGTGAAAGATTTTAAAAAATTCTCCTTTTTTTTTTAAACAACAAAGAACCAAAATGCAAAAAAAGAGAAAAATCCAACATTTTATTTAAGTACATTACTTTGGTGGTAAAAATAAAATCACACATTTAGAAAATAAAAACCAATGAAATCATGTGTCCCACATTTATTGGCACCCCTAACAATTCCGCTAAAAATATAATTGATTTCCTTTACATCTATTTTCCTGTAGTTGCTATAGTTGGTCAGGGTATCTAGGAACTTTTAATTAGTAATTCATGACTTCCTGTTTCCCTGGGGTATAAATATGACGTGAAGCAGAGGCCTAAATCTCTTACCAATTAGTCAGCATGGCAAAGACTAGAGAACACACAATTCAAGTAAGGCAGATGTGCGTCGACCTTCATAAGTCAGGCAATGGTTACAAGAAAATAGCCACTTGCCTTAACTTGCCTTCATCTATAGTCAGAGGAATCATTAAGAAGTTTAAACAACTGGAACAATGACAAACACGGCTGGAAGAGGTCGCAGGTTTATCTTGCCACAGCCCACAGTGAGGAAGATGGTAAGAGAAGTAAAAAAGTCCTGCGCTCACTGTCACAGAATTGGAACAAAAAGTCTTTGGGTCACAAAGACTCCAAAACAACCATCAGACGCTCTCATGCCAACGAGCTGTTTGGAAGGCATGCAAGGAAAACGTCTTTTCTCACCAACAATCACAAACATAAACGTCTGCAGTTTGCTAAGCGGCACTGGGACTTCAACTGGGATCCTGTGCTTTGGTCAGATGAGACTAAGATTGAGCTTTTTTCTCTACGGCTGCTCTCTACGGCTGCTCTCTATGGCTGCTCTACGGCTGCTCTCTATGGCTGCTCTCTACGGCTGCTCTCTACGGCTGCTCTCTACGGCTGCTCTCTATGGCTGCTCTCTACGGCTGCTCTATGGCTGATCTATTGCTGCAGCTCTATGGCTGCTCTACGGCTGCTCTCTATGGCTGCTCTCTACGGCTGCTCTCTATGGCTGCTCTCTACGGCTGCTCTATGGCTGATCTATTGCTGCAGCTCTATGGCTGCTCTACGGCTGCTCTCTATGGCTGCTCTACGGCTGATCTATTGCTGCAGCTCTATGCTGCAGCTCTATGGCTGCTCTCTACGGTTGCTCTCTATGGCTGCTCTACGGCTGATCTATTGCTGCAGCTCTACGGCTGCTCTCTATGGCTGCTCTCTACGGCTGCTCTCTACGGCTGCTCTCTATGGCTGCTCTCTACGGCTGCTCTCTACGGCTGCTCTATACGGCTGCTTTCTACGGCTGCTCTATGGCTGATCTATTGCTGCAGCTCTATGGCTGCTCTACGGCTGCTCTCTATGGCTGCTCTACGGCTGATCTATTGCTGCAGCTCTATTGCTGCAGCTCTATGGCTGCTCTCTACGGTTGCTCTCTATGGCTGCTCTACGGCTGATCTATTGCTGCAGCTCTATGGCTGCTCTCTATGGCTGCTCTCTACGGCTGCTCTCTACGGCTGCTCTCTATGGCTGCTCTCTACGGCTGCTCTCTACGGCTGCTCTCTACGGCTGCTCTCTATGGCTGCTCTCTACGGCTGCTCTCTCTGGCTGCTCTCTACGGCTGCTCTCTACGGTGCTTGCTGCTCTACGGCTGCTCTCTACGGCTGCTCTCTACGGCTGCTCTCTACGGCTGCTCTCTACGGCTGCTCTCTATGGCTGCTCTACGGCTGATCTATTGCTGCAGCTCTATGGCTGCTCTCTATGGCTGCTCTACGGCTGATCTATTGCTGCTCTCTATGGCTGCTCTACGGCTGATCTATTGCTGCAGCTCTATTGCTGCAGCTCTACAGCTGCTCTCTACGGCTGATCTATTGCTGCAGCTCTACGGCTGCTCTACGGCTGCTCTCTATGGCTGCTCTACGGCTGCTCTCTACGGCTGCTCTCTACGGCTGCTCTCTACGGCTGCTCTCTACGGCTGCTCTACGGCCGCTCTCTACAGCTGCTCTCTACGGCTGCTCTCTACGGCTGCTCTACGGCTGCTCTCTACGGCTGCTCTCTACGGCTGCTCTCTATGGCTGCTCTACGGCTGCTCTACGGCTGCTCTCTACGGCTGCTCTCTACGCCTGCTCTACGGCTGCTCTCTACAGCTGCTCTCTATGGCTGCTCTACGGCTGCTCTACGGCTGCTCTCTACGGCTGCTCTCTACGGCTGCTCTACGGCTGCTCTCTACGGCTGCTCTCTACGGCTGCTCTACGGCTGCTCTCTACGGCTGCTCTCTATGGCTGCTCTACGGCTGCTCTACGGCTGCTCTCTACGGCTGCTCTCTACGGCTGCTCTACGGCTGCTCTCTACAGCTGCTCTCTACGGCTGCTCTCTATGGCTGCTCTACGGCTGCTCTACGGCTGCTCTCTACAGCTGCTCTCTACGCTGCTCTCTACGGCTGCTCTCTACGGCTGCTCTCTATGGCTGCTCTACGGCTGCTCTCTACAGCTGCTCTCTATGGCTGCTCTACGGCTGCTCTCTACGGCTGCTCTCTATGGCTGCTCTCTACGGCTGCTCTCTACGGCTGCTCTGTATGGCTGCTCTACGGCTGATCTATTGCTGCAGCTCTACGGCTGCTCTACGGCTGCTCTGTATGGCTGCTCTCTACGGCTGCTCTCTACGGCTGCTCTCTATGGCTGCTCTGTATGGCTGCTCTCTACGGCTGCTCTCTATGGCTGCTCTCTACAGCTGCTCTCTACGGCTGCTCTACGGCTGATCTATTGCTGCAGCTCTATGGCTGCTCTATGGCTTCTCTACGGCTGCTCTCTACGGCTGCTCTCTATGGCTGCTCTACAGCTGCTCTCTATGGCTGCTCTCTACAGCTGCTCTCTATGGCTGCTCTCTACGGCTGCTCTCTATGGCTGCTCTACGGCTGATCTATTGCTGCAGCTCTATTGCTGCAGCTCTACGGCTGCTCTACGGCTGCTCTCTATGGCTGCTCTACGGCTGATCTATCGCTGCAGCTCTATTGCTGCAGCTCTATGGCTGCTCTACGGCTGCTCTCTATGGCTGCTCTACGGCTGATCTATTGCTGCAGCTCTATGGCTGCTCTCTACAGCTGCTCTCTACGGCTGATCTATTGCTGCAGCTCTATGGCTGCTCTCTACGGCTGCTCTCTATGGCTGCTCTACGGCTGATCTATTGCTGCAGCTCTATGGCTGCTCTCTATGGCTGCTCTCTACGGCTGCTCTACGGCTGCTCTCTATGGCTGCTCTACGGCTGATCTATTGCTGCAGCTCTATTGCTGCAGCTCTACAGCTGCTCTCTACGGCTGATCCATTGCTGCAGCTCTATGGCTGCTCTCTATGGCTGCTCTACGGCTGATCTATTGCTGCAGCTCTACAGCTGCTCTCTACGGCTGATCTATTGCTGCAGCTCTACGGCTGCTCTCTACGGCTGCTCTACGGCTGCTCTCTACGGCTGCTCTCTATGGCTGCTCTCTACGGCTGCTCTCTACGGCTGCTCTACGGCTGCTCTCTACGGCTGCTCTCTACGGCTGCTCTACGGCTGCTCTCTACGGCTGCTCTCTACGGCTGCTCTCTATGGCTGCTCTACGGCTGCTCTCTACAGCTGCTCTACGGCTGCTCTACGGCTGCTCTCTATGGCTGCTCTACGGCTGCTCTCTATGGCTGCTCTCTACAGCTGCTCTCTACGGCTGCTCTCTACGGCTGCATCTCTACGGCTGCTCTACGGCTGCTCTCTATGGCTGCTCTACGGCCTTTCTCTATGGGCTGCTCTACTGCTGCAGCTCTACTGGCAATGCTCTCTACTGGCTGCTCTACGGCTGCCGCTTTCCTCTCTACAGGCTGCTTGCCCGGCTGCTCTACTGCCTGCAGCTCTATTGCTGCTCTACGGCTGCTCTCTATGGCTGCTCTCTACAGGCTGCTCTCTACTGGCTGCTCTACAGGCTGCTCTACTGCTGCAGCTCACGGCTGCTCTCTATGCTGCTCTACGCGCTGCTCTCTATGCTGCAGCTCTACAGGCTGCTCTCTATGGCATGCTCTAACGGCTGCTCTCTACGGCTGCTCTCTCGGATGCTCTAATGGCTGCTCTCTAAGGCTGCTCTCTACAGGCTGCTCTCTACGGCTGCTCTACGGCTGCTCTCTACGGCTGCTCTCTACGGCTGCTCTCTATGGCTGCTCTACGGCTGCTCTCTACGGCTGCTCTCTATGGCTGCTCTACGGCTGCTCTACGGCTGCTCTCTACGGCTGCTCTCTACGGCTGCTCTCTATGGCTGCTCTACGGCTGCTCTCTACGGCTGCTCTACGGCTGCTCTACGGCTGCTCTCTACGGCTGCTCTCTACGGCTGCTCTCTACAGCTGCTCTCTATGGCTGCTCTACGGCTGCTCTCTATGGCTGCTCTACGGCTGCTCTCTATGGCTGCTCTACGGCTGCTCTCTACGGCTGCTCTCTACGGCTGCTCTCTACAGCTGCTCTCTATGGCTG